TTCACAACGCGCCCAGGCTGGAAATGGGAAAAGCGGCCACAGCTTTTTTGCCAGATTCTCAAAGAGAATGTCAATCCGCCATGGACGAAACTTGTTGCCACCGTTTGAAGCAAGCTGTGTGGCGACACATGCCTAACTTTGGATCCAGCTGAGTATCGAAAATGCAATCATCCCTGGGAAGCCTGGCACCGCAAGCTGCCCGAAAGTGCCGATTTTCCCACAGAGGTTGGTGGGAGTCCGTTGTCAAAAGCATCATATGTTGGATCTTGGTAATCCGAGCCACAACAAATTCCTCAAATTCTTCAAATTCCTCGCATGCCCCCATGTCACGCTGATGGGAGACTGAGGATGATGCCGATGAAGTGGAACTTGAACTCGAATCGGACGAAGCATCGTCCTGTGAAGGCTTTGTGTCCGCCATCTTGGATTCCTGGTGCATGGGTACTCCTTCCAAAACTGGATCAGAAGACGCTCCATTGAATGGCAAAAAGAGCCAATGGTAATCAGGGTATGCTTTTCGAAACCTTTCCAATGATACTGATGGTTCTTGGATCGGTCTCTGAGATCCCCGGTGCAATGGAGTCACAAAACGGTGACCTTGTTGAACCTGCACTATCAGTGTATTTTGTAGGGCCAGCTGGCCAGCCGTGTCATCCCGACTGTAAAGTCTCATGCTACCTCTACGATGGTGTCCTTGGAGGTGTCGCTGTTCCTCCGTGACCAAACCCTGCTGAGCCAACTGGTTCGACCAACTCAATGCAGTTGTCTTTAATGAATGCAAAGTGTAATCACCAGGATTGGCAGAGATTGGAATTGGAGAATGTTTCCAGGGGAGACTGCAAAAATGACGAAGCCAATGCAAAGCTTGAGAGTATGGCATTGGCACCAATGGGTATGCAAAACCGTCACCTTTGGTCATAGGCAGCAAAAAATCAGCATCCGCAATTGCATTGTGAGCCCGAGACCATAAATTGTCTAGGGCCATGAGCCATTGAGCCACCCACGACCATGCTCCATGGGACAAAAAGCCCAGGGTTGGCCTGAACGTGAAGTTTTTGTCCTGTAACATGAGCCTCGCAGAGCCGTGATACACCACGAAAGGGATTGTAAAGAAATCCTTTGACCGTCTGCGAATCTCAGGCCACCCCACAGTAGGCAGAGAAATCCGCCCAGCAAAATTTGTTCTTGCAAAGAGCATTCCTTCATTAGGATGCGACGCTCCCACTGGGATACCAGGAAAAGACTCAAGGGAACAGATTCACGTCTTTCATGGTTGTTTGAATTGAAAAATGAATTAACAACAGGGTCATACAGCAGCTGCCACTCTGAGATCAATAAAAGCTTCTGAGCCCACCGCAATGCTTTGATGGCCGTAGTTGCCCCAAATCCCCACTCCGTATGTTTGCCCTCATGGGCAATTTGCAGCAAATCTGACAAATGGTGTCTTCCAATGTCGTGCCATGTCCATGCAAACTCCAGTAAAATGCTGTGAATGCACTGCAAGGTGTTGATATATTTGAAAAGCGTTGATGGGGCAAATTTGTCAAGCAACCTCCGGCAATGAACATCAAACTGGGTGGACTGGTGATAATCCCTCCAAATGGTTGATAAGGCACCGACGCTGTTGACCAGTATCATCCATCTTGCGAGCAACTCTGCAGGAATGCTGGAAGATTGAACTATGACTGGCTTGGGTGATCCTCCACGTGGAGCTGGAAAGAACTGAGTTTCAGGCGTCTTACGTTTGCTAGGCAACATGTTGGATTTATGCAACTGCAGCGGCACATCAGGGTCCAACTGTCGATTTGTCGAAACAACTGAGGGCACCGACGCGGTCAAAGAGGCTGGTCTGCTAAATGGTGGCACAGCCTTGCCCCCTTTTTAAGAGGTTGTTGTAAACTTACTGCAGTGCGAGCACAATAGGTTGGTACCTGTTTCGGAGTACTCTGTCTCTTGGGAGTGGGCTGTGCAATAAGGGTCCAATCCCCGTCACTGTCCTCCATGGTGATGTCCCCCACCAAAAAAAATTTGAATGAAATTCCAGGTCAGTTCAGTCAGAATCTGAGGCCGCTGACAACGCAACACTTGGCGTATCCACTGTCAAAAATGAAATGCAAGGTCTGTAAACACCGGAGCAAATGATACTGAAATGGTACAAATCCCAGTTCAAGGTCGACTGCACAGGTCTCTCCCAAGGCCAGCAATCAGGCAGTGGTACGTACAAATACTCAAAGATGACCGTCCGAATTTCTGCTGGATGCAGTGACTGATCAATGAAAATATACAGAAAAAGGGTCTGGCCCACCGCCGCTGGCCGTAGCATCAACGCCCCAGGATCGCCCGGTGCAGAAAAAATGTTGGAAATGTTCCGTGAAAATGAATGACGATATGTGGAAAAAAACCTGACGCGTTGCAATGTGATGACAGTGAATTCCATGCCAAAAAAAAGATCCGTGGAAAGACACATGACCGCACCAGTAAAAACAAATAAAGCAACATAACATGAAAGCCAACTTGAGCCAAAATGGTACATCATAACAAGATGAAGTCCTATAACCCAAAACATTAGTGAACAAGTACACTACACGTACCAGTGTAGACTGCGGAGCGCGGATTGGAATGGAGCGCAGAGCATGCAGTGTGAAGACGGTGGGGTGCCGAGGAGGGAATTTAGTGTGTAGGTTGTGAAGTCGGGTTTTCCGAGTGTGAAGTGCCGATTGTAAAGTGCAAAGTGTGGAGTGTAAAGTGTAGAGCGTGCGGAGTGTAAACTGTAAAGTGTAGTATGGGGTGTAGAGCGTGGAGTGTAAGGTGTAGAGTGTGGAGTGTAGAGTGCGGAGCGTCAAGTGTAAATTGTGACGTGTGAAGCGTCGAGTAGGGAATGTAGTGGGAAGGTTGCGATGTGGGGATTGTGGGAGTGTAAAGTGTGGAGTGTGGAGTGTAGAGCCTGGAGTGTAAAGTGCAGAGTGTAGAGTGTGGAGTGCGAAGTGTCAAGTCAGTGTAAAGTGTGGCCTAGGGGTTGTTAAGGGTAGAGTGTGGACTGTTAAGTGTAAAGTGTCAAGTGTGGAGTATAGAGTGTCAAGTGTAAAGTGTGGAGCGTAGAGTGTAAAGTGTACAGTGCGGAATGTAGAAAGCGGAGTGTCAAGTGCAAAGTGTGAAGTGTAAAGTGTAGAAAGTAAAATGCGGAGTGCGGAGTGTAAAGCGTAGGGTGTGGAGTGCAAACTGTAAAGTGTAAAGTTTAGAGTGCGGAGTGTAAAGCGCAAAGTGTAGAGTGCGGAGTGTACAGTGCAGAGTGTAGAGTGTGGAGTGTCAAGTGTAAACTGTAGAGTGCAGAGTGTGGAGTGTAAAGTGCAAGGTGTAAAGTGTAAAGTGTGGAGTGCAAGGTGTAGTGTGCACAGTGTGAGGTGTAAAGTCTAAGGCGCAAAGTGTGAAGTGTAGAGTGCGGAGTGTGAACTAGTGAAGCAATGAAGTAGTGATGTAATGAAATACACTCTAACCATGTCCACGCAATTTGCGCGTTTTCCCCACGTGACGCAGCCCTGCCAATGCGATTCGCAAAAAGAGGCAACAGCACACGTCTAAAGTGCTGCGCTTGCCGCGCAAAATGAGCATGGAGGCCTCCAAAGTGCTCGGGTTTGCCACGAAAATTGGAACACGGGCAACCGATGAGAAATTATAACCCTAAGTCACAGGAACATTCAAATGTTCCTCAACATGCTTGAGGTCTACTTCGAAACCAGGTTCAGCGTAAACCAGCCACTGCTTGAATGAGAAAGCAAAGTCTAACCGGTTAGCCTGATCTTCTGTCGAATTTTGAGCTCCCAAAACTTGTCGGACACTTCACAACCTTGCTAGCTTCTGCAAAACCACTTTTCTGCGCTCTTGCTTGGTCGTTGGATTCTTTAAGGGCTTGGGCTGCTTGGGCAGCGGCATCAGCAGCACGTGTAGCTGCTTCCAAGATTTGTGAAGCTTGGGCACCAGACATCCCTTCCAGTCGCCAGAAACAGCCAAATCTGTAAATTCAAATCCAAAAATCCCCAAAACCAGCAATGCAACGCAGTGAAACGTGTTCTATCCAGAGCTTCCAACGGCAAATGTCCTCACCAGAAATGGAGCCACGTATGGCCAGTCTCAGCAATGATTGCACCTGCAGAAACAAAGGCAAGGTATGGCAACGGGGAAGCCTTTTGACCTCGAGGTTCAGAGGTCCTTGGAGGCTTGGGTCCTGGCCTCCTTTTGAGCCCTCACCAGAAACCTCAGGAGTCTGGATCACTGGGCTCCGCTACCATGCAAATCTTTTTGGAACCGAAAGCGCCTCAAAGATGCAGTATCGGCTGAACATGCTGTGACAGGCATGTAACTGCTATGATCTACTGAATGTACATCAGATGGCAATTGAGTGCAAGGTGAATCAATATTCTTCAAAATCACACATCGAATGCTTCCGCACTGACTGAATGGAACCGAAATTAGACGCTATAAGGCCACTCTTCCAATCTAATTGAACGATTGAAATTGAATATTGGAACGCAATAACTACGCGCAAACCGTTCAAATCCGTTTTGTCCATGCCCCCACAACAAATACCAGTTGTTTAGTCCTGTATGCAATTTTGCAAACTTTTCTGGAACCAAAAAGCGCCTGACGATACACGCTGAGTGACACTTCTCGGTTTGTGCTGTCAATGCACATGACAGACATCAACTGTACTGTTTCTGCAGGGATTGCACATGCGTAAATATACAACACCCCGCCTTGATGTAGGCATGTGCCCTATATCACTACAAGTAACTCCTCAGGACTGTTCAGAGTCCATGGTTTCTACTCAATTGGGTTCTGTGCTGCGAAAAGTTGCGCTACAGCAGTTGCTCAGCCATTGTCGCTGCTGCAACCACTGGTTTCCTTGGCGCATACCACGCTCAGCAGGTTTCTGGACCTCCTTCACCATTGCCGGAATGGACCATAGTGCAGGTCAGCCCAGAAGTCTGGGTCTGAGACTTCTCCTATGTCGTCTTCCATATAACTTTTTGTGCGCTGGCTTTCTGGTCCACCTGGTCCATCCATGCTGTCGTCGTCGTCATCGTCGTCGTCCTCACCATCCATTGGTGCTGGCCCTGGTGCTCGAAGAGCTTCACCAGTTGAGCCATCACTTCTGGTGGGTATCCATGGCGAGGCGACTCATCATGTGGACTCGGCTCATTGTCACCGCTGAGTGACTCCAGCATCCTGGCTCTTTCGAAGCTTGAGCTAGGCAGGTGGGCCAGAAAACCCACCTTTTCCCTTGGGCATACTTGAGAATCTTCCCAACGTTCGAATCTCTTTGCGCTCTTCCATGACGTTCCAACACCATTTTCAGAGTGGGTGTTACCAGTCCTTCCAGGGCTGGCTGTGTGTCCTCGGTTGTTTGAGGTCCTGTTGGAGCCAAGGCCGTCACCGGCGGTCTTTCCACGTAGTTCATGTCATGCCATGGGCTGGCTTGGAGCATCCAACAGCTGTAGAGCATGCAAAGTAAGGTGGGCACACTCAGTGTACAGCCACCTGCATCACCAGACGAACCACTGTCACATCCCGCTAGAGTTGTGGCGGCAGCTGCAGCCATCATGCCTGTCACAAGTTCATCTGGAGGGCCATGAGGAGCATTCGGAGAATCCTCATCTGAAGACAGATCATCCACCAGATGCAGCATACTGCTGGCATTCTCGTACTCCTCATAAGTCGCATGGTGCAGGTAGGTCAACATCTCCTGCAAAATGCTCCCTGGATCCTGATTGGCAGCTGTAAGAAGTTCACCACGCGTGCATCTCCCATACAGCCAGTGAACCAGCCCCTCAGGTGAGAAAGCTGGGGGGCTCTCACCTAAATCGCCCGTGGCCTCACCACCTGGAGTTGACTCCACGTCGGTCATTCCAACAGTGTCTTCATCCGCGGTCTCAAAACTTCCAGAAGCCTTTCCCAGGCTTGCATTTCAAGTAGACACCATATCCAACGAACAAAAGCAGCCATGTCACCACCACTTTGGCAGCAAACTGCGACTCATCTGGCACGACATCCATTGCTGAAAACAAAGAAGGATTGCTGTCAGTGCATCCCTGCAGTTGTGTCAACTGAGACGTTGTGCCAAAGGCGCTGGGAGTGCTCATGATGTGCTGTCTTGATGGAGTGTTCACATGACGAAAGATGCTGGCTGGATCCCATGCACCAACTAAACTGCCGTTTGAGCCACACCAAAGACCGACCAATCCTTGCAGCACTGGGTCGTTTGGTTGCAATGTCCGCAGGGTTCACGGCACCCAACACTGCCTTCACCATCAACGTTCATTCTGAAACTAGATCTTGGAGCCATAGCACACGACAACTCAGATGTCTCAGTCTGCCTATCCCTTTTCCTGACAGTATACCCCTTGCTGCAGATGAATCCAAATACAAACACATCAACATGTGATGCGTGCTAAGATGCTCTGAATGAGGATGGCATCACGGCTGAAGCAGCAGCATATGTTTCAGACTCTGCGCTCGCTAGGGATACTACCTTCTGAGTTCGAGAAGAGGAGTAGACCGTCCATGTCCCAAAGAAAATGACACTTCCAGAAACAGATCGGCACGTCTGCCTCGGCACGTTTGCCTGTCTGCTACCCAATCTGCATCACTGAAAATCTCCCAAATGGGATCTTTATGGTTTCAGCGACCTTGGCAAACCCACATAGCATAGAGGTTGTATCAACCTAGGCAAACCCACATAACACATAGCGACGTGACGCATACACGAGCTGCATATGTCATAGAGTATATTCATAGGATATCATAAAAACATTGTGGTGGTCATGTCAAATGATTTATTTGGCTGACTTTTCAAGAACATCAAACTGACATGTCAACTGCTGGAAACGATCGTGGCTCAGCACCTATTTTCTGCGACTGCGGTCAAAGGGGAGTTCGATCTCAAATGGTGATGCATCATCGCATCGCTCGGGTCATTGCATATGACATTTGGAATTGCACGCATTGCATTGTCTTTTCATGTTTTTCAGTCTGCATAACTGTTGCTTTTTCCCTTTCCCATTTGGGGTGGGAAACGAAGGATGAGTTGGGCGGGATCAAAAATTCGTCATTGCATTGGAAATGAGCAAGTCCCTACCCACCCACCTCTGACATGTAAAACACGACGTAAACGAAATTCATCCATTGAAATGATGTCACAGCATGTGAAGTGAAAAGACCGACATGTGAAGCATATGCATATATATAATCATATTATTTCCAAATGGTACGCTTGTTCCAGTTTTTGTCAATTAAAATTCGACGCGCTTAGATTCTTCAATTTAATAAAACTGAAAATGATCGAAAACACGCAGCTCACTGTCGGACTTGATTTAAAATTCCTTTTTCCGCATTGGGGTAATATTCACGAGTAAGACACCCGCTAGCCAGGCTTAGGGCTAGGCAAGGTAAAACCCCGCGAAGAGGGGAAGGAAGAAAAAGGAGACAGAGAAGAACCCACTCGACAGAGGGGAAGAAAACACGCACCTTCGGCAGAAGGGGTGAAGACACAGGGTGGAGAGGGAGGGTAAACGCGGTCCATTGGACCAAAACTGGAAGGAACCCACCGCCCACCGCTTGAGGTGTAAAATGAGGAATGAGATGAAATGAAAACTGAACACTTCTGAGAAACAACCAAACAGACAGTTTGGAAAAACGAAACTGACAAAAAAAAACTGTAACACGCTTTCACCAAAAAGTTCCAGTTGAAATTGGCAACTTTTGGTTTTTCCATTTTTGAAATAAGGTGCTTATCACTTCGTGAGTAAACACTTATTTCCAAATGGAACGCTTGTTCCAGTTTTTGTCAATTAAAATTCGACGCGCTTAGATTCTTCAATTTAATAAAAATGAAAATGATCGAAAACACGCAGCTCACTGTCGGACTTGATTTAAAATTCCTTTTTCCGCATTGGGGTAATATTCACGAGTAAGACACCCGCTAGCCGCTAGCCACCCCACATCAAAGTGTCTGCTCCTTCCTTTCGATTAGAAGCAAGACTTGATCCCAGCTTGGCTTAACCAAAGCGGAACCAACGTCCAACAGTTGCTGGATTTCGAAACGACTGGGTTTGTCAGCAGGGTTTGAATACGATGGCACTCTTCCAAACCAAACCTTCAAACTGTGCTCAGATTCAAGCTGTGCAAAACAAGTGGTGAGAACATTGCCGAACAAAACGCTGGAGTGGGTTTTCATCAAAGCGCTCTTTGCGGCCTCGTTGTCTATGTAAAACACCACGTAGGAATTAGCGATGGCCGGGGCCCATACATGTGCAGCAACCAGCACTGCCAGAAGTTCAACCTCGAAAATAGGGTGGCTGGAATGCTGGAGGAACAGGTCCAAAATCAGCTGGGGGACCCGCTCGCTGAAGAAGGCTTCGGCCTCGCCATCGTTGTTGTATAAGATGCCTCCAACGGAGGCCACAATTTGCGACCCATCTGCCGTGGGTTCGACCGCACCATCAGTGAAAATGTAGTAGGTTTTTCCGGCTGACTTGGTCAGCTCCACTGGCTTCGAAACGGAAACATGCTCTTTGAGAAACTGCAAGGCTCGATGGAGCTGCGGGTCCAAGCTACCATCCAAAGAGCAAGAGGTGGCTCTCTTGCTGATCACACTCATGGAATAGTTTGCAATCCTCCCAAACAGAAAGGTGTCATACCACTGCAGACGACCTCTGAGCCTCTCTGCATCCTTTGGTTTCAAACAATTTTGGTCAAGGTGTGATGCTATCTGGGCCAGCAGATTGTCTACGGCTGTCGGTATGTCCGATACGGACGTTTCCAGCTGCGAAATCAGTCAAATCAATGAGTAAGCCCAATGCCTTGAAGGTTTGCTCGAAGGCGCCAGCTTTGTCTCCATCTCGGGCGAAATCAATGCCTAAGAGATCAAACAACAAGTGCACCTGAGCCTTGCATTGGGCCGCCATCGAGGAGGTGGTCAAGGTAGGGAAATCGTCGAAGAAACTCGACCACCAAAATCCCAGGCATACCTGTCCAATGCAGGCCAAGGCCGCCGATATGCGAAGGAAGCCAGCTACGCTTCCTGAAGCTCCGAAGGGGAGCGCACTGATCTTGTACACTTTGGCCACGCCTTGTTCTACATCCTTCACACAAATGCGAACTCTTTCACGGTCTTTGGGGTGGATTGCATATTGCTTGTAGGCCGCCACCAAATCAAAAGTGGTGCCACACAAAGTTTCGCCCTCAGGCAACCCCACTGATAACGCTCGGACCAAAGTGGCCGCAATGGCGTCAATGGAGTGCAGCACGTATTTTTCTGGAAGGCCTGTTGAACCATTGACTCCACATTGCTTGAAGTCATCGATGACTCGTACCTTCGATTTCTGCACCAGGCCAAATCGCCTGGCAACTACAAGCTTGTCCAGGTCTGGATTTTCATCCTCGACCAACCACCCTTTCTCTATTTCTTTGATTGTGCCTTCCCAGGCGCCAACTGATGCGTCACTAGCTTCTTCAGAGTTCACCGATTTGAAAATGCTCCTGCTGAGGCCCTTCGAAAGACGCAGGAGCGCATCCACTGAGTACTGGGGTGGCTTTGATCTATGAGGAAAAAGCATTGAGTCACGCAACCAACCTGTGATGCGGAAACCCGCACAAATATCCTTGACCAGGTGTCGATCAGGAAATCCAATGTCATTCAGGATCTCTTCAAGCACCAGAAGTCTCTTGCCCTTGAGGACCCTTGCTACTTCTGGGTCCAAAGCGTTGTGCAAGTCTTTCTCCTTGCTGGCCAACTCACTTGCTCTTTTGAGCCATTTCCGGAAAAAGGCATTCCTTCGATCTAAAAGTTTTCCAAAGTCTGGGGACAAGTTTTCCAGCACGAAAGGGTCACGCGCTGACCAATCTTCTGCAAACAAGTTTCTTGGGTGGCCTGCAGCTACTGCACGAGCTACGAAATCTTCAGGTTCCCTTGGAATCCCTATTGAAAGAATCTCACCCACTTTTTGAAGTGCCTTGAAATCGCCAGCAAAACCATTTATGCAAATGCAGTTGCTCTTCTGAGAGCTGCACTCATCCTTCAACACACTATCGCAAACCCGAAAGTCACCCCCATGCATGAGTTTGCGGTTCACTATCCGCGCCCCTTTGGGGAAAGTTTTCAAAAGTTTGTCCAAATCTTCAGCAGGAAAATGGGGCGGCACCAACCATTGGCTGTAAAACTGAAATTCGCTGACCAAAGGGAGCAATTTCCTCCCTCTTGGTAAGAGTCCCATTAGAATTTGTTGCAGTGGATCTTTGATGATGAATCTGCTGTTCCAAAGTCTGCAGTTTAGTGAAATTGCATTGCTGCAGCGCTTGATCCACAAGGTTTGCCACTCGATCGCATAAAATTTCAGGATATGCCGCTTCCTCAGCCGTCGGGAAATTGAAGCGTTGGTTGGATTTGTCAAAAACAGGTGTCCAAGTTTTATGCTGGTGGTCTCTGCTACACCTCAGCGCCAATGGAGAAAAAATGTTTCTGTTGCACCACCACAGGGTTGCTTTGTCTCTTTGGCCCCCCATCATGCAACTGTCGAACACAACTCGAAAACCTTCACACAGTGCGAAGAGTTCGACCATAGGTTTTGTCTGCCAGAAAAGTGAGTTTAAAGGATTCTCAATTGAAACCAAAATACCGTGCAAAACACAGAATTGAACAATGACAGCGGTAGCGCTATATAGCGCATTTGCTTTTTCCACTTTCAGCAAATTGAGTCCAGTGAGCCCCGGTAATCCGTCAGGAAATTCTTTTGAACGAAGGGGCACAGGCTGCATCTCTTGAGGGCAACCTGGAACGGGAATTCCTCTGGCTGCTGAAGCTGTGCCGCAGGGCGGCGCCAAGTGAATATACACCAGCACATTGAGTTCAGCTTTCAAGAAGTCCAGCAAAAAGTGTAAATCCTCATCTTTCGTGAGGTCCAAAACGGTGATAAGACCTGTGGACCTTTTGGTGGTGTGATCCACAGATGAAACTCGAAAATCTCGTTTGGCAAAAGCTCGGCTTAACCGTGCTGTCCCTGCAAAAATCTCAACAAATAGCAAATCTTTCCACTCTGTGCCTCTTTCGAGGTTTGGAAAAGGCTCCGCACGTTGCTCTGCTGTTTCGCGCAAGCCCTCATCCTGTTGGCGAGGGCTTTCCAATTCCTCTTGTTGAAGTTGCTCATCACCTAGTCAGTTGCCTCCGCGTTGGCGGCACGACAGAAAGGTGTGTCCACCTTTCCGGCAAAATGCACAGATGTGGATTCCTTTCGAACATCTCACAGGGTTTCCATAGGTCTTTGCTGAACATCCATCTTTCATGTTGAAGGCCCAACAAATTGGTTTGTTGTCACTCGTCTTTGAATGACCACCCTTCAACTCGTCCGGCATCTTTACCTCCGTTGTTGCTCGAGCCCTTTTGCCCGGTCTAATTTTTGCCTTTGGTTTGCCAGCGTCTGGTTTGCTAGCGTTGGAGGCCTCCACCGAATGCGCCTTTGTAGGCAATGGCAGCAAGTGCATGGTCACCCTTGGGTCCGTCTTCAACCTTGTAATATGGTCATCCAGCGGTCGGTTTCCCACACCATCGGGCTGGATGGATTCCACTTCCCTTGCTAGAATTGTAAACAACTCCTTGTCGGCTCGCAACAATTGAGACATGGTCACCTTCGCAAATGAAGGCGGTGGCTCTGCAGAGTAAGCCTGAAACATGGCTGATACCCAACTTTCATGCTTGTCCCAAGAAATCAAAGCTGCTTGGTCAAATGCCAATCCACGTCGCTGAAAACACCACATAAGTTTCAATTCCGTTCCATGGTCAGCTTCAAAGGTCTCAGTGTCTGCGGCCATTTTCAGTGTCATGTTCTCAATCTTCAGCACTTGAGATTTTTCCTTCAAAGTTTGCTGTACCTCTTGTTCACGTTTTGTGCATTGTGAAGGGTGGATCCATAGAAGCGACCCTGTCTCTCTCATGCTGGCGCACTTGTCCACCAAAGCATAACTGGGTTCCATTTCACCTGACAAAGTAATGCCAGTCAGTCTGGTCTGCTGATCCTTTGCCCTTGCCTGCTTTTCAGCTGGCGGCAACTTTCGAATCCCATCGGTCAAATCGCCAGCCACATTGCTCTTCAAGGTCGCGAAAACTATTGTGCAAGCTTCGAAGTGCAACCTCCTCAGCTGGGACAATTGGCCCAGTGTAGGTGGAACCCCAAAAACTCCTGCGGCAAAAGCTCCAAAGGCTGCATCATCTGGTTGAGACTGCGGTGTCCCACATGCAAAGGCCAAACCGCTGAACGTCTTCAAACCTGAATTGTCCAGTGTCTGAAAAAGAACTTCATCACCGATCTCTATGACCCTCTTTTTGAAGGCCGCTTCAGAATCAAGTAATGACATGGCTTGCGAGGGTTCCTGCTCCTACAACAACACAAATTCAATATGCCTGACATGTGATAGTGAGGTTTTCGACATGCATGGCTGTCAGTTTGAATTGACCAAACTTTTAATGAGTCAGTGTGGGAAGAAGAGCCTTCACCCAACACGGCAAAAAACCACTGGAGAAACCACGTGGTAACTGCATGTACTGCCACTGGAAATGGCCACGTTGCTTGAACCCAGTGTGGGACATAGAAATCACCCAACACGGACAGCTCACTGGTTGCACCACGTGGCTCAGCAACTGGATGAATGAAATTGCATCATACTGATTGCAAAGAACGGTTTGCGGAAACAAATTCATGCATGCTCAAAAAATTGAAATGATTTGGCAAAAAACGGAAAATGACTGCCGCAGAAATTCTGAAAACTTTTATCCACTCCTGGCCAAACCTGCCGTTTGCTTCAGGCAGTTTGAACAAACTGAGGAGTCCCACCTGGTCTGAAAGTCCCTGGTGTACGCATCGGTCACTTTGCGACCACATTCAAGGATTCTTTCACGGTGATCCTGAATTATGTGTAAAGTCTTTGACTTACTGTGCTGCAAAAAATAACAACCCTCAGGTGGCGTTGGAGGCATAAACAAACGAGGTGGTGCAGGCGGTTCACTTGACTGTTCACTCTCATCTGAGGATGAATCAGTTGTCACATGTTCTGACTGGGCATCAGAAATTTGGCGTTCAGACGCACTTGATGCCACTGATATGCATTCCCAGCCTGCCTCATCTGACTGCTGTTTCACCTGCTCTAGCTCACCTGACAGGTCAGCGGGCTGTGCACATGGAGAAAGGTTTACTGCGGCATCCAATGAACTGTCCTTCACAAGTCTGCCAGCTCTTGACTCATCTGGAAAAAACCTTTTGTTCCTGATCTCGTCCAAAAGCTCTTCCATCATGCGCATGGGCCTAGCTTCTGCATCTCGTGCATACACATCAGCCATGCGTCCCTGATGAGCATGGTGTCCTAACACCAAACGCTCTTCATGTGGAAGTCCACGCTTTGCTGCATAGCTAAGGATGGTACACTTGCATGAATGCGATGTGATCCTAACTTCATTCTGCGATGCAACCGGGTTCAACTGTAAAAGGAGTCTCAACCAAGAGCCGCACTCATCTGTTCCAAGAGGTCGCACTGTTGGTTTTCCCTCCACTGAAGGCGCAGGCATAGGGGGATGTACCTCCTGTATCCCTACTGATGCCCTGGCGTCCATCCAACACCCGATCCAGTCAGAATCAACAACGCCATGCGCAGGTGCACACAGCTCCAAAAACCGAAAACGGAAAGCAGAAGCATGCATGGTTTTGTGAGTTGAAACTTTGCAGGATATGTACCTAATGTCATCACCAACGAATTCCAACTTGAGCTCCGAACCATGTTGAAAGTCCATCCAACGACTGCGTGAGTATACGCAGAATAACACAGCCCCTGCAAAAACTCGGTCCCAGACGTCGGCTGATTCTCGCACCAATCTGTGAAGCTCTGTCAATTGCACGACAGTTAATGGAGCAGCTTGACAAGGTGAGTCTGACGGTAAACCTCTGGCAACTCCTAGACATCTCCTACTGCTCACACATTCTTGAAGCTTTGAAATGTCAAAAACAAATCTGCAAAAAGTGACGGCTTCGACAATGCCCTTGATGCGACTTGGTTTGCAACCAGCCCTGCGAAGGTCGCACAATGCCTGGTACAGTTGCAGTTCAGAACATGGAAACTCATGAAGCTTGACATGTTGAAAAAGGATTCCCAAACTGTTGACTCGCTTGTACAACGTTGCAGGTGCTTTTGTACCCATGTAGTCCCGAAGCAATGACAGACCATCTGCAATGGTTGAACACCCACGTAGTTCCTGTACCACCTTCTCCATGGGGTCCCAAGAGATGATGCATGTGAGCCAACGTTTCAACCCTGTCTGCAACTCAGAGTCCCTTTTGTCCATCCAAGTCTCTTCAGGATGTTTCACAACTGCACGTGAGAAATTTGATGTCAACACAGCTGGAGGTGACAGTTTAACCTTCTTCTGAACTGAGTGCTCCGCCACAGGTCCCGGCAAAATTGGACGATAGATGCTGCCCATGCTGAAGTCTTCCATGTAGTCAAAATTCTGTTGAAAAATGGGTCTCCAAGCACGTGTCTCCCAAGGCAGCAACACAGGTTTTGACTCCAAGGCTTTAAAACAAGAATCCACGGCTCTTGCAAAGTCCAAATTGTCGAAAACATCTCGCCCAAAAGTTGTTGGAATAGAACCAGGTTTGGCAGTTTCAAGAAAAACAGCATCTCCAACTGGTGAATTGTCTACATCGAAACTGTGCCCTCCAAACAGCTCAAATGCCGTTTCTGCCACACTTGCAGAGTCCGAGGGCTCCGCCATAGCTCACCCCCCAGCTAAACGCGGTCCATTGGACCAAAACTGGAAGGAACCCACCGCCCACCGCTTGAGGTGTAAAATGAGGAATGAGATGAAATGAAAACTTAACTCTTCTGAGAAACAACCAAACAGACAGTTTGGAAAAAAGAAACTAACAAAAAACTGTAACACGCTTTCACCAAAAAGTTCCAGTTGAAATTGGCAACTTTTGGTTTTTCCATTTTTGAAATAAGGTGCTTATCACTTCGTGAGTAAACACTAAATATACATTCCCATCATATATATTCACATGTCATTATATATTTCAGATGCCTCATGTAACCATTGACATATTCATAAGATCAAAGTCAGCGTAGACTGAAACCTAAACTGCATCAGAAGTTTGGGTTTGTTTATTTGTTTTTGCAGACGCACGGCAGAAGCGGCATAGCTTCCTTAACAAGTCGCGTGACGCGTGCGCAGCAAGAGACCCATAAACATAAGATCACGGAAGGATCCTTAACACAATTTTGCCAAGGGAAACCTATGGGTTTCAATCGCCTACACCATAAACCCCTACTGGCAAGCCAGCAGTTACATTATGGTTTCAGCGACCTTGGCAAACCCACATAGCATAGAAGTTGTATCAACCTAGGCAAACCCACATAACACATAGCGACGTGACGCATACACGAGCTGCATATGTCATAGAGTATATTCATAGGATATCATAAAAACATTGTGGTGGTCATGTCAAATAATTTATTTGGCTGACTTTTCAAGAACATCAAACTGACATGTCAACTGCTGGAAACGATCGTGGCTCAGCACCTATTTTCTGCGACTGCGGTCAAAGGGGAGTTCGATCTCAAATGGTGATGCATCATCGCATCGCTCGGGTCATCGCATATGACATTTGGAATTGCACGCGCTGCATTGTCTTTTCATGTTTTTCAGTCTGCATAACTGTTGCTTTTTCCCCTTTCACCTTCAGCAAATCGCTTCAAGTTCTAAGCCAAGGATCGGACATTTTGGTCGGCATCATCTGCAAATCGGCTCAAGAAACTTTAGTTCGCTGAGCAATCCCCTGCTCGGGTAGTCAGCTGGATTGGAAGCTGACGGCACTATGGAAATCCACATGCATGATAGACAAGAGATTGTCATCTATTCTTCAAGTCTCAAAAGAAGCTGTCTCCATGCGTCAACACTTGCAGAACCCTTCACCATACAGTCCTGGGCTCCGTAGATAGTCTACATGGATCCACTTCTGTCCAGCCTACCAAGCACACACACCCTGCCGATTCTTGTTTACCTTGCAAACGGACAGTCGTACAACGGAAAATGAAATATCCACGATCCTCATGATCCGTAGAAATCTATACATAAAACAGGGTCCCAAAGTCACCTGAACCCAACAGACTTCAACCAACTTCACACTCCCTAGTGACCTTATACCTTCATGTCATCACCTCCTGTGAGACAGGTGCACCAGGTCGACTCATCTCTGCCTCTGCGGCATAGAACAGGGCTCCTACCCAAGATAGGTCTCCCGTCAGATATCCTTGGATGCACACAAGGGTCGCTAAGACGTTCTGCCGTTTTCCAGGGCTCCGCTCAAGTTGTGAAAAACGTAAACCCAAGTACACCTTTCGTGTACCCAAATCAACGCTTTCGTTATCTCACTGCACCAGACACAAACACCTACTGTGGTTGCGGCCCCGCAGTTAATTACTTCTCTGCAATGTCAAACTAAAGGAACTTGTTCCACCCTGACTCCTAAGTGCACGTCAGACTCCTTCTTTTCTCTCCAGACGCCACACACAACGGAACAGGTCAACAGGAACCAAGGCAGGCACACGGCCACAAACCAAAAGGAAGATCCAGTGTGGCTACAATTTCATATGCCCTAGGTGACACTGCAGTTCACTTGACACCACTCCCTTGAGCCGATGTCTCAACTGGGAAACTCGATTCCAGGTTTCCAATACACAACCTTCCTTCAAAGGTTGTTGAAACAATTCCAAACTGCTATGATATACAAATCACCTAGTCGCAAAACGTCAGAAACATTTCCAAAAGTTCTCAAGTCAAACTGGTTCTCATCCAAACGCAAGTAACCAGCTAGCCGGTGTTACTAGTCTCTACCAAACGTCTAGACGAGTTACACGGCTATTCAAGAACGAAATGATTCATTCAAATTCCTTTACAAAATCCTCTTGCAATACAGAACAACATGGAACCTCCTGTTCCATCTCCAAAACAGTTCTTCACACAGAGATGTCTTCTCAGAGCTCCAAACTACCGTGGAGAACAGAATGTTCTGCTCGACTTCTCAGCTAATATCCAGTCATCAGCAGTCATAGCGCTAAAGTAGTTCGCTCACCACAACAACCAAACGTCAGCAATAAGTCACAAAGACAAAGGTCACAAAGCAGACTTCCAGATCAAATACCCAGAGGTTGACTACTATACGTAGGCATTGTCTTCTCAATGCCCGAGTATCAGACTTCCAGATCAAATGCCCAGATGTCGAACACTATGCGTAGGCATTGTCCTTACAACGCTGAAATATCAGACTTCCAGATCACATACCTAGATGTCGAATACTATACGTAGG